TTTTATTGCTATAAAGGTTTCAACATGTTTTTGAAGGGAACAAAAGTCGAATCTGCACGAAGTCGTTCTCAACACCACTTGCTTGTGACTCAGGGTCACCACCGCTTTCTTGCTTCATACCTTTTTTCAAGAATTCGTTCCGCAGGCAACAGAAGCTCCTAAATGGGCATTTCATTCTGTGTGCCTAACGGAAATTTAAAATCAATCATTTTTGAGGGATAATTCCGGACCTTTACCCGTGCAATTTGCTCGTAATCGAGAGAAAATCATGAAGAAGGAGCATCTCCGGCGGCACATCGGTAAACATCCCGTTCAGTGTCAATCGTAATTTGAATCAAAGGTCAACGAGATCATATTTGTGAATTTTATTAGGGGCTGCATTGATAACTGAATATTTTTTTCCAAGAGCTTAGGCATGGAACTCTTTTTTCTTGAGTCTCCTGCTAGACTTTTCGAAAGATGAATACGCAGTAGGTCTTAGGTAGAGTGACCGCGGCAGGTATTGTGAGCCACAGATGGTATTGGGTCTTCAGGGGAAGCGGCAGGCCTGTTTCTGCTAATTTCGAAATTTGACGAGCGTAGTGATTGACCCCGCCTTCTGAATACTTACCAGGAAAGGCATTCAACTTCCCATGGAACTTTGAATTGAGACCCAGATATATCGATAGAGCTTCAAACGCTGATTACAAATATGGAAACTAAAACTGCAAAATGAACCTGCCAAGGAAGTTGTGAGCAGTCAAAGTTGGCTGGAAGTAAAGCATTACATATGAACCGTGCTAGCTTCCGGGCTTTCAGAGTCGCCGTGGAGTAGTGGTAGTGCTCTCGCTCTCCAGCCGGGAGGTCGTGCATTCTCTTCCCGTTGGAGTGCAACTTTCGAGAGCACTACCACTACTCCATGGCGACTTTGAATGCCCGGACGGTACCACGATTCATATGAAACGCTTTATTTCCAGCCAATTTACTGCTCACAACTTACTTGGCAGGTTCATTTTGCAGTTTTAGTTTTCAAATTCGTAATCAATATTTGAAGTCTGTGTCTCGCATCTTCAATCAGAATGGTGAAAAGTTGCCGCGCCTTCCTGCGTTAAGAACACCCGGCCTCGAAAATTAACTGTACCAGGAATAACGGTTACCGAGGTAGGTTATCATTTTTAGTTTGTTAAAGGACTCGTTGACCAATTTCTAAACTAAAAATCAGTATCAATACCACTATCAATTTCTTTCGCATTCTAGTCCTGTAAAGGTGATTAGGTGTTGGAATTCATTGAGTTTAATGAAGATTTGATTCATTCAGGGCTCTCGGCAATGAGATAGCGTAGCCCACCTAGCTAGCGATGAGTGGGGTACAGTGTTACACTGATTGTGAACTGCGCTTGAAGCTGATCTGACTAAAATCGCTTCCTCCATAGGTTCAGCGGCTGGTAGAATTCAGGAATTCCGAATCTACCTCTGTCTCCGAGTCCTACTCCCATTTTCTTGTACACTGTATGAAACTATGCCCGACTTTCCCTGCGCTGCCTACTCCACACGGCCCACCTCCCACAGAGTTAAATACAACCCAGCTATCGGAAAATCCTCGACATTGGCTCATCCTAATTCCGAGACTTCTTCATCTTAAGAACGTTCCAGCTTTTTGATGCTCTTAGCAACATGAAAAGCAGCCGATGGCGCCTGTCCCTCTTGTTCCACTTATCCCAAGTTTCTTTGCAAGCGTTTCTTTCTGGACGTTTCTTCGGTTCGTTTCGAGTGCAATGGACATGCTTTGTCGTTGTGTTGGGTGATGAGTAAGCGAGAATCTTCGGCTTGTCCTCCGTCCATCGCCACACGGTTGGGCGGGCCGGCAACGGAAGTCCGGCCTCCAGTCGCGACCGTCATCAGGGGCGTTCACAACGAATCGCAACGGTGGCAGCGAAAAAGGACGGATGATCCGGTTGAAGCGAAGGCGGAGTGAGGTATATAACGGTCCCGTAGCCCCCATCACCAATATCCTCCCCACCCTTAGGCACATGCAACGACTCGTACTTGTCATTTCCTGCTGTGCAGGTAATAAAGTCTAGGGTTTAATACCTGACTGTACTTATATTATTTTGCTTATTTTTTTACCATATCCACTTGAATATTTTCTTTTACCCTTTCTCAACAGTAAGTTTATTTTTGAATCTGTTTCCTTGCTACAGCAGTGGTTCGAGCCGATTTGAAGTCCGGTGAGGAGACTCCACAATATTGGCGAGCGATTCTTGGCGACATTTGCCAACTACCTTCATTTCCACGAGCGACCGGCGACCCTCACCGATATGTGGAGTGCGTTCGACAAAGTGCTTTGGCAGCTGATCGGTAAGCGAGCCCTGAATTCAGTACCCAATCCTTCGAGCCTCTCATGCATGCCTCATTCATTGTCATTGTTTCCGCCGTGAATTTGCTCTTCATTTTCCCACTTCTGAGCATCTCAAGTGTCCGTCCACAGCACTTGATGACCATCCACTGATTCCTAGCGCTTTTTGAGCGCAGATGAAACAGCTGTGAGTGCTCTCAGTTATCCACTCGGCTCAAGCACTGTGTTCCGACCATTATCGGCTGAGGGTGAGTTATTTCGAGCCGAGGAATCCATCCTATCCCCATCTGCTTGCAATTGTTTGCACTTGTTTCCGAGCACTCCCCAGAACACCCGAATAAACAGCACTGGTTTTGCTCCCGTTTTTTGAGGCAAAACGCAAAGAACATCTGCTATTCAGCTTGGACGTAACGTAGAAAAGGGCTGACTTTTTGCAGGAAAGATCTCGGCATTTGGCTGCTTAGAGAATGCCTTCCCGGCTTCGAATTTGTCGCTTCGGCTCGACGCTGTAAGACGATTCGTTCGGTAAAACGACAACAAGAACTGTGCGGATCAAATAACTCGTCAATGTACCAGTTTTGTCCCTCCAAGAGCAGCAGTACTGAGGTGAGCTGCCAATATCTTCTCTTTAGAATCTCTTTAAAAATTCCTTTGTCGATTAGTTGAGAAGAAATTACGTCTGAGTACCCAGAAGTACAACATGTTCTCTTTAACATGCTGGAATTCGGAAGGAGATCCAGTTTTGAGAACATTTTGGCTCTCTTTCAGAAATCGATCGACGCACAAGTTTTATATAAATAATACCCGGTCCTTTTTAATATCAACCTCCCTCTTTCTTAAAAAAATTGCTTGTTATTTATTGGAACGCGAAATGTTTTTTTGTTATGAGCACGATTCACCTTAAAGGCATGGCCACCAAAATAGCGGGCGCGTGAAATTCCGCTTCCGACGGCGCGCGTCATTTCGGTGATCACTTGTGTACGTTCCAAGGCTCGCCCACTGACTCTAAAGTACGTGGTGAGGAAGCAGTTTTGTTGGGAGGAGGTGAAAAAATGGCTACTGCATTGGCACGTGAGCCGTAGAAAACTTATAAAATGGGCAGCTTAAAATCTGATAAAAAAAACTTCCTTCACACTTTTGCTTCCTGCACCTGCTACTAGTGGCTGAGAAAGCGCCCCTCCTAAAAAAAGAATTACCAAAAATCATAAAAGCTGATTGTTTGATTGTCGAGCAAACCGCAGCTTTGCAAGTATTGTAATCGCGACGAATGTCCCTCTAGCACCAAATTTAAGGTACTTCGACAGTTATGGCTTTTTCCTCGCCCGTAATCCCTTTCTCAATCAGCGGAAGTGGTGTAGTCGCAAAGTGGACGCTTACTCAGCAACCGTCCGGGTATCAAATCCTGTTAATTTCGCCCAGGTCAACCAAGGCTCATCGCTCCTGATGCGGTGAATTGTCACCAACAATTTGTTCTGGAAGTAAAAACTCTTGACTTATTAACCTACACGGCTGGCCCCTCGCAACTCATTGTGTAGGCATACGTCGTATCAATACATCACTACGGCTGACAAGATGGATAGATAGTTGCGTGCGAGCATCCCGAAAGGGACTGAATCAACTGCAGCATCGCCTTATTCTTTTTTATCCCTTTTCAAGCTAAGCAATAGCCAACCCTCTAGTTACAACTTTTTTGCATCGGGACCAGCGGTGATTTGAGATATTGACACATGACCTTCAAATTGCTCTCAAAGAAATTGGCCATTATTCCACTTGTGTTGCTTGCACACCTCGTGGCTCAGACAAGAGCCTGAGCACCAAGCGCTCACTGAACGATATCAGAGTAGCGTTGTTCAAGAGACTTTGAGAGCATTTTGAAGAGCTCTCGTGAACAAGTCCGACAATCAGTCCGGCTCAGGTGTTCGTTTGACGTACTCGTGAAATCCAGTTGAGCTGTGGCTCTGGTCCATCAGCTGGCGTCAAATTACATGACCTGTCGGGGCTACCCGATTTTTGACACCTTGCGGAAACGTTCCTGGTCAATGAACGTCTGCGGACATCGACCTAGTCAACAGAACGGCTAACCCCACATGGCGAAGCATGCATGCGTAGCAATGAGGATCCACTCGAAAAGTTGGGAAATCTAGTGAAAAATGCAATCTCCACTTATTTTGGTCTTGTTTCGAACTGCCGAAATTTGAAAATCATCCCCCCCGTGATGTTTCGCCTCTCATAGTCATGACCCAGCACTAAATTTCTTAGAATTGAATATTTTTTGAAGTAACTATGTTGAACATTTGTTAGGCCTTAGCATGACGTGAGGTACTTTTAGGTGGACGTTTTCTTAACAGTTTGTCTATATTAGGGCTTACTCTCTTATAGACGGTAAGCTCTCGCAGGAGAAGGTGATGACTACGACCTGTCATCACCTCTGACTACCGTCTGAGGATCAAAGGCAGGGTTGAATCTTGCCACGCCCACCAAGCCTTTCATCCATCAGATGCCGATAAATTGATACCAGGCACGTCTGGGATCAAATCAAAGCACTGATTTCACGGTTGAATTAATTGCTAGTGTGCCTAACTTGTACCAATCTTGCGGACGGCTGCGACGCACCCGAGCCCTATCGCGTTGTAGCTAGAAACGCGTTTGAAGGTAAGGTGCCGCACCCACCGCACTGGCGAAGCCCTGAACTCTATCCACGGGAAAAGCTTCTCAATGATCCAGGACTCCTCTAAGGGTGTGTGAGGTTGGATGCTCTCCTCGCGATGACTGTTTCAGTTTGAGACGCACTTTTCAATACCGCTGACCGTATCTCCGAGTTCTTGGAGGCTTTCCATTGCACTCGTTGTACCGTATTCTTCCAAAGTTCCTACTTATTCTGTGTCAATTGAAAGTACGGCGTGCTTGTTGGCTTGACCGCCTTTCAGGGGTCAGCATCTGTCAAGATAAGCCACATATTAGGTAGCTGGCTAAAGCGAAGTGAAATCAGCAGGCAAAAAGGAGGGCTAATTCCACTGGTGTTAGAGCCTTTTGCTGCTTTTTTCTTCTACACCTCCAAACTGCTCTGCTTTCATTTCAAACTTGTGGCAATCTTACCGTACCATCCATGTTCAACAACTTGGATCAGAACAGTACCGCGGTAGGACCAGGCTAGATTTGAGTCTGTCCTATCAGCGCTGCCATCGCTTTAATTACCCGACATCGATGGTGTGTACTTGGGTAGGATTTGACCAATAAAGCAGTGGAAAAGCTGCGCGTCCTTAACTGCCTTACCGTTATTACCGCGGCTCACACCCATCGAGTTTAATTCTGCCTTCGCGCGCTTTCTGATAATAAATGGGAAAATTTTGGACTTATGGTTTCGGAGGAACTGCTGTGAGTTCTACTATCAAAAAATTAAGAGCTTAAGTGAGACTTGCTAGGAAACTTTTAATGCTGCTTATATGATCGGAAAATGGTTAAGAAACTTTAACCTCAGGTCGGAATGTCGTGCAATTTCCGATCGGCAGACGAAATTTGGAATAATTCGTAGTATTTTTTCTCTCGAAGAAGAGAGTGCCAGAACTCAGTACGTCCAGAAACGTTTACGGTAGAAATCGGCCACAAAAGGAGCCATAATCGAATAGATTCTATTTTTAGAGGACTTCATCACTGTTTGCTTTCAGTTCCTTGTGGAGGAGGTCCGTGAGGCTCCACGTCAGTGCACCTGTCCAAATGGCGAAGAGAATTGTGTATGTCCGAGTCCGGAAATTCTTGAGCCGGTCGTTATTCCGATCAACTCGGAGAAAACTCGTCGTTCACCGCTGCTCAGTACTTCGGTAACTAGACTCTTTATACGTTTAGCCAGTTTTATATGGCGTTTAGCCACATCAACAATAACTTTTTCTCTATTGACAGCCACTCCAGTTCTCACAATACCCGTCATGTCCGTGTCCACCTGCTCAGCCCGCTTGTACGTGTGTGTCGACAAATACTCAGAATGAAAAGGTGATCTCAAGTTTTGGACTCTCTAAATATGGCTCACGGCGGAGACGGAGTAGTGACATGGGGCGGTGCTATCACATCCATTGCCCGAGCATCAAATCGCAGATCAACTCCTGCCTAAGCCTACTCTTTGTCAGATAGACGGTATCATTTAGCAAGTAGTATGATCGGTACGTTACATTCAAGAGCAATTCACCGATTTTTTTGGTGAATGGACTGTCAGCCGAGTAAAAGTATAATAATATAATAAAAAAATAATAATAAATATCAAATAAAGTGTAATACATCAAATTACGGCTGTGTCTTTCTCTTTACTATGATTTCTAGTGAAAGTCAAAGACGCGGCGCATCTAAAATTCGAATTTATCAGCTATATCACTGTTTTTTATAGAGTTTGTTTTTGCTAGTTACTGTGTGGTTATTTTTAGATCGTAGTCTTCGATCAGTTTGTTGCCAGCAACTTCTCCGACGCCTTGTCATGCAACTGTGCACCGCTCCTGCTCTCTTGTACGACCTCAAGGTGGTTTAGTGATTGTTTTTCCTTGCTAGCGACAAATTAGGACAAGCCCAAGACGAGTCAACTCACCAACAATACCACTGTTTTTTCGATGATCCAGCAAAAGTGAGAATCACGAGGGATTGGGCCGAAAAATTTAGAGGCCCATCCGGAAACCTACAAAGGTGTTACTTCGTAGATCCTCAGCAAAATTTTCTGAGGATGGAAAATATCCATGCCAAGATTCCAGAGAAAAAAACCTTGCTTTTGACCTCTGGTACACTCTAGTAGGGGGGCTCTGTCTAGAGTATGCGGTGTCTGCGGTAGGAGGTGGTGTACTGGCAAGTGTCGCACTTACCTCGGCATAATTCAGGGTTTAAATTCGGCTTGAGTCTCTTCCATTTCAACCACGTCTCATAGCCATTCTGAATCTGCAAATTGTTAGGCTATGCATGCTATTGACATCGGCTGGCCCTTGCAAGTCATTGTATAGCCCAAATAGTAGTCAAATGTCATTACGACTCTGCATGAAGTTGAACGCGTGGCGCATCCCGAAGGGATTGGTACAAGTTTGCAGTAGCTCTGGTGCCGATGAAGGCTGGTCTTACCGGCGAATTCGCTTGGATTCGCAGTTTGCGGCCATCGGCCACCGTTGGCAGCGGGATCGGTGCCATCATTGTAACCCAATTCACCTCACCGTTTATCTGATGGTGTGACTCTAGTAGAAAGGCACGGAAAGAGTATTGCGAATCGAACCTCATTCTTTAAGGTCCGGTTTCGTTTTTTTTTGAATTTCTCTCTACTGAAGTGTTTTGTAAGGGCATCATTTTATCATAAGCGTGGCCTGAAGTCCTGGATTGATTCCCTTCCAGAACCATTTAGCCAAAAGCCATTTCGAATCAGAACAGAATTTGGTTGTGTGGCGCATTTCATTGATCGATGCCGAATATCTTATGCTTTTCTTTATAACAATGTTTCAGAATTGCCAAACCACGACCACTCAACAGCAGTATTGCCCACAGCAACAGCCGGCCATCGTACAGCCTCAGGCCTGTCCTCTTGGTGAGCGATTATTTCTTTCCGATTTCAGACTTCAGTCGTTTTTTATTGACAAATTTAGTTGGAAAAATTGTAATTTGAGTGATTCGGCCTGCAGGGCATACCCACGTCAAATCAATTTTCTAGTGTTCGTGGGCGTCCATTGCTTACAATACTGCTGAGAACAGGAACAACAGTAACCTTTCGTCAATTCTCTTCTTGTCCGAATTACTAGGGGTCCCGCAGGCATTTCGTGATTTTAGTGGGATTGAACGGAAAGTATTGAAAAGCACTCGGGAAGTTTCCAACCTACAGAGTTCACCTAGCCTCAAGGGCATGGCCCACCCTCAGTTATATCCAAATGTAGAAGTGTGGATGTTTAGCTAGACAACCGGTTAAAAAAAGAACATGAAGCTTTTGGAAACACCGAGAATGCCCCGCCTTGCTTCACGTTTTGGAGAGACTAACAGATACGAATTAATGAGTTCGAAGAA